GACTGATAAGGCAGGACTGATAAGGCACAGAGCCCTGCCCTAACTGATAAGGGAAGGGTAGCAGAGGTGGAAGTGACTGTCTCCGTGGGGAAGAAACAAGCCATTCTTGAGTTCAGCCTGCTTCTGACTTTTCAGCAGTAAGCGTACATTTCTTTCATAGTTAGGAAAGAATAAAACAAGCAACAAAAAGGAAACTGTAACGGGTTCACTTGATGTTTTGACTATACCCTTGTGGCTTTGATACTTACATGTTTTTTCTTTTTCCCGAGTCTTCTTTTCCCTAAACTTCTCCTACCTGATCTCTCCTCCCTGATCTCATCTTCTCTGAATCACTTCTATAGAAGCCGCTATTCCTGCGGATGGGCAGAATCACAGCCTTTGAAACAGGAGTCCCCTGTATTTCTCCTTTGCTAGTAAAGCAAGAAACCTCCTCTTTCCTTTTTCTAAAAACCATGTTGGGACAAGGACCAAGCTTTCAGCAACAAAAGGATTCAGAACATTTTGGGATTCAAGATTTTTTTCTGCTTGTTGGGCTGTGTTTTCTCATACAAGACTATGGGCATTTAGTGGATCCCAACTAATCCCGTAGCGGGCAGAGGGCCTATCTCAGCCCGCAGGGGGGCAGGCGGGCAGGCGGGCAGGCGGGCACACTGGATGGGTTCAGTTTTGGGGACAAAACTGAAGAACAACTACGGAGGGGAAGGGCGTGGGAAGGAGCTGGGAGCCCTCTTTGCAGGCACCCCAAATCCTCCCAGTGTGGAAGAGACCCCGCCTCACTCCCAGGGAGCACCCAGACCTCCAAAGACAGAGTCCTCGGAGCCTGGACTCAGCTGCCTGGAGCCCCCCAGCCTACTGCACGCGGCTCAAAGATCAAGGAAGGCTCAGCAACCCTCCGGCCTTGGTTCCTTCCTATAGCAGGTTCAGTGGATGTGCCTGGTCCATTTGCTGGGAGGAGGAGATGAAATGGAAGTGGGCGTGTGAAGCCTTGAGTCCAGGGCCCGTGCCAAGTTCACGTAGATGTTCCTGACTGCTTCAGGGCTGGGGTGTGGCTCAGCAGGAGAGCACCCAAGTGGAGGTGCTGGGTTCAATCCCCAGCACATGAGAGATGAAACAAAGGTAACTTTAAAACAAAGGCAAGGACTGGGATTCTATGACTACATCATAATATTTATGTCCCTTTAGGCCAGTGGTGAGGCTTTTTAAATCAGGGTATTCTTTGCAGGAAGAATTTGGTGACTATCTGGTACAGTATAGTATATAAAAATACACGGACACTCTGGCAAGAGAAGCAGGAGTGAACTTTCTGTCTCGAACAACTCGTGTTCACAAGTCTGCTTGTCACTTCTCCAGAGTTCTGGGTAGACAGCACAGTGGCTGTGGCCACTGCCCCCGCCACAAGAAGAGTGACTTGTTCTCCTGTGTCAAGTGTTGCTTGTGTGTGTGGAGGTGGGTGTCTTGAGTTGGAGCTACAGCAGCAGCAGTAACCCCTGAACTCAGGGGTGTGCCTGTGGGTCCCAGAATCCTGGGACACCTCTTCTCATCCCGAGCCCCTGGGGGCCATGTTGACTGCACCATACCCTTATCTCCAGAGACTGGTTGGTTTTAAAATCGCGGATGTGCAAAATAATTCCTGGAATTGTGATGAGGAGCTCTGGGTGGCGCCTAGACTATTTTTAACCCATACTCTAGTCTGGGACCAGCTGTGGCTCTGCAGGGCACAGGACAACACCTGCCATCTACCCTCAGCAAGAGCAGCTTTATCTGTTTTGTGTCTTTCCTGATATAACACTGTGTCTCCAGCATCCTGCCACGTTCGGCAAACGGTTCACGTTGGAGAAAACCTTTTGAAAATAATTCTGACAGGATGTTTCAAAAAGCTGGCATCTTCAGGCTCACTCTGAAAACTCTGCAAAGTACCTGGCACCTGAGAACGAGGGGCCCAAGCCATGAATTTCAGGCACACACTCCCCAGGAAATGTCATCTGTCTTAGCTTCCTTCATGTGACACATGCAGCTATAAGATGAGACTCTAAGTCCTTTTGTGCACCTCCAGAGCAAAGGGCAAGGTGAGACCCCCCCCCTTTTAAAAGGCCTAAGCCAGCACAAATAGGTTGTAGCTGACAACTTCAGATCCCAGGACTGCCCCGGGGATCCTAGGGTGGCCTGGTGTGGTGGGCTGGACAGTGGCCTCCAAAGGCCATACCCACTCCTAGCCCCTGGAACCTGTGGACATGACCTTGTTTGGAATAAGTCTTGGCAGAGGAAAGGAGCTAAAGATCCTTGAGCTGGGAGGTCATCCTGGATTAGCCAGGTGGGCCCCGAGTCCAGAGAGAAGTATCTCCACAAGAAAGAGAAGGCCGGTGAAGACAGGGGCAGCCATCAGGATGGCCGGGAGCCCCCAGGAGCTGAGGAGGCAGGAAGGAGCTCCCATAGAGCCTCAGGGGAGCCCAGCCTGCCAGGCGTTGGCTTTGGACTGCGCCCGCTAACACTGTGAGGGCACAGATTCCCGCTGTTTGAGGCCACCCAGCTCCTGGTGTTTTGTCACTGAGCACGGAACACGAAGGTGCCTACATAGTGAGTTCTTTCTGTGCTTCGTCCTTCCTGCTCACATCTCCAGCCAGGGCGGTAAGCAAGCCTGTGTTGAACCTCCTTTGGGTGATTCAAAACATTCCCTTCTGGTAAAAGGAAAGCACACTGACCCTGAGGAGATTTCAACTGTGTGTGGTGCACGCCCGACATCCCAGGGACTCAGCAAGCTGCTGTAGGGGGATCACATGTTTGCGGCCAGCACTGGCAACTTAATGAGACACTGTCTCAATAAATAAATAAATAAACAAAGGAATGAATAAATAGGCTGGGGCTGTAGCTCAGGAGTAGAGCTTGCCTAGCACATGTAAGATCCTGGGTTCGATCCCCAGCACTACAGGGGGAAAAAAAAAAAGCCTCAGAACTATATGTGATGGTGAATGACACCATGTCCACGTGCCAGTCATTTGGGGTTACTCATTAATTAGAGCTCTAGTTGTGTCTCACCAGTTGGCCTGGCAAAATTGGTAGTTGCGGCTTATCCTGCCTCATTTATATGTTGAGGTTGTTGAAATCGCCACCATATCCACATGAGGTCCTGTCTGTGGCGTTTCACTGAGTGGAGGTGCTAAAATTGTTAACCAAGGGCTGTATTCAGGCTTATGTCTGACAAGGCCACAGTGAACATCCTTGCTGGCACTGACGTGCTTGTGTCACTGTGTGGTGCTTTGGGGTAACGGGTGTAGGTACATGGTCTCCCCAACGATCACCACCCATTCTCCCAAGGAGACACACCAATTTGCCTCCTGTTTTCCTCATAACAGGAGGTCCTCCAGATGCTTAAAAGAATGTGTGTCCTCTCAAATAGCCCAGACTCTCTGAAAAAACTGCTTTTTTGGTAAACACAGGTACTCACGACTCAGACTCCCATCAGGAGCCTGGAGCCCTAGGCTGCCCCCTTTTGACTCTTCCTGAGCATCTCCCCACCTGAGCACCTCGTGCAAACGGCTTCATGGGCTCCTGTGGCCCCTGAGACATTCTAAGGACAATGGCAGCCACCATACAACTGTGATGGGGTAGTGGTGGCTGGCCTGTCCCTCTCCCTCCCTTCACTCTTGCCCCCACAGTCTCCTCTCCAGAAGGCAGCCAGAGTGCAAGTTCGAGTGGACGTCCAAACAGTCCAGTGGGTTCCCAGCTCATGCAGAGTAAGATCCACAGCCCCCGTCATGGCCCCCACAGCCCTGCAACCTGTCCGTCAGCTGTCCCTCCAACCTCAGGTTCCACAGCACATGCTGCACTCTAGCTGGAGCCCTGGACACTCCTAGGTGATGAAGGGGGGACGAGGGCAGGTGACTAGGGACACCAGTGCCTGGGGTGAGGGGATGAGGGGACTGGGCTGGTGGATGGCAGCAGGAATGGACAGGTACATTCTGCTTCCATGTTCCTGCAAAGGCTCAGGCCTCCTGCACAGGCCATCTCCCCTCTTCTCCAATCTGGCTTTGCCAGTCCACTGTGGAGGGACCGGCACCAGCCGCCTTCTCCAGAACCAACTGCCCAACTGGAAAGGTTTTAATTTTAAGGTCCATGTAACTGACCCTATCGACCACCAGCTTCCAAGTACCAGGAAGACCCCCTTAATGATAACGGCCCTTATCCTTAGGGGTCAGCTGGCCCACACAGGGCTTTGGTCTAGATCGGTCTGAATCTCTGGCAACTGCGCATCCTGTCTGCTCTCTGATCAAGGCTTCCTGAGACCCCTTGGGCCCAAGGCAGCTCCCTCCTGACTCAGGTCCACCCTCCTGTTCTTACTTCCTCATTTACTTATTTATTTATATTTGGTCCTGGGGATGGCACCTGGGGCCTCATGCACACCACATCTGTGTGCTACCAGTGGGCGACACCCAGCCTGCGCCCTGCCTGTCTGGGTGGCAGGCTGTAGGCCAGGTCTCCTGGCGCTGGTTAGCATCAGAGTTGGAGCTCTCAGAGGCCAGCTTCTGGCCCTGGGGCAGACAGTGAGACCAGCGGCTTCCTAGAGGGTGGGCTGCACCTGAAGCTGCTCTCTTGGGTTTCTGTGGCACTGCATCCTGTGGGCTCTCTGCAGGCCCCTCTATTTGATTTCTGTCCTTCGTGGGGGTCCTTCTTCTTTCCTGCCTGTTTGACAAGCTGGGGAGCCCTCTCCTCGGCCCCACTCCCTCCCTCCCTCCCTCCTTCCACAAACTTTCGTGGGTGTCAGTCACCACTGCTGTGCCCATATCCTCCGAGCTGATTAGTACTAGGTGACAAAAAAGCTGGCTGGTGGTGACTGCCCTACAGCTGGACCCACCTTCAGATGCCCCCCAGGGCTCCCGGCTCACACCTGGCAGTTACATCCCCTCTAGCCCCCTGGGCACGGTTTGAAACGCCCACCCAACCCTGTAACCGCACGTGCATCCGCCCTTCCTGTTCCAGGTTCATGCCCGGCAGGTGGCACTTACTCCCAGGTACTCCGTCGTCAGAAGCTTCTCTCCTGAGAGTTCTCCCAGCTGGGGTTGGATCAGTTCGTCTTTGTCCAGATCAGCTTCCATGGTGTCGTGGTCCTCCTGTGTCAAACAGAGGGGTGAGTGCTGTGGACACCCTGCCTCCGGCCCCAGAGGGGGCTCCCCAGAGCACTGGCCCAACACGGCAACTCGTGGGTACCGTTCACAGGCCTCAGGCCCATCTGCCCTCTATGTGCAGATGGGTGGGGAGGCCAGAGAGCCCAGGGATCCGGCGGGGCGAGCACTTCCCAGGGTAGTGTGACATGGCACTGCAGCCTCTCCCAGCCACAGTCCTCGGGTTCCTCTCCGTGGCCCAGGTCCCAGGGCAGTGGCCAAACCAGTCAATCTACAACCAGTGTCAAGCACTTTCACATGCATAGGCTTCGTGGGGGCTACAGACGTATGGGTCACGGTCACCAAGAAGACAATACGCGGGGCTCAGGCAAAGAATGTCATCCTGTAGAAACGTCTCCATAAGATGAACACGTTGTGTCAGCACTGTGGCTCCAGGCCCGCCACCTTCACACCTCGCCCTGCGCAGATGCAGAGGACTGCCCAGCACAAGAGGCCAAGGCTGGAAGGTGAAAGGCCGCTGGTAGAGTGAGACGTCTAAAAATCGCACAGCCCAGATTCAGACATGGCCTCTGAGGAAGGACGCTGCCTCCACCCAGGAGGGCAGCTGTGAGGCACCAGCAGCTGGGGATGGCCGTCAGCCACGCAGTACGTGTTCTCACGGACGAGGAGAGAAGAAGCGAGGAGGAGAGGGAAGGAGAAGAGCCGTTTAGCTTCAAGGAAGATGCAGTGGACCTGTCTCCCTCCTCCTCCCGCCAATCAACTAAAACACTGGCCACTACACATCAACTGAAGACCCTGAAACATGGAGAAGGAGGCAGACCAGCGAGGGACTCTGGGACCCCAGGAGTGACAGAGATGAGGGCTTTGGTTTTCTTCTTGCCTCATCCACGTCAGACTTGGAGCTAAAGAAGCCAGTAATCGGGAATGCCAAGGAAGACAAAAACGTCCCTCTAGCCCAGGGACCAGGAAAACGGGAATCGGACATGAAAAAAACACCGTAGAAAGTAACCAACACTGTAGTCCCACCCCCAACCAAGCCTGCAAGGGCCTGGGGATCCTCATCTTCTGCCCTCACTGTGGTAAGGCACCCCACACCTCCAGGGGGGGCACCAGAGAAGCCGAGCAGGAAAGATTCCGACCCTGCTGGGCAGTAATGAAGCCCTCATGCCCAGTGTGGGCCTCTTCCTGTACCCGACAGTAAGTGGTTTCTCTCCATCTTCCTGCTGGGAGAAAAGGCCATGTTGGGGACCAAGTGGGGACCCAGAACTCCTGCCCCCATTCTAAAGTAATGAGGGAACCCCACCTTCCAATATGGAACCTGGAATTCTACCCACACCTTTCATTAAGGAAGGAGTCTGTGCGTTAGTGACAAGGTAGCGTCAGAAGAAACCAGCTAAAACAGAAGTTTAAATAAGATCCAACACCTTACAATACCCCAAATGTCCAGGTTGAAACTTAAGACAAATCCCTCATCTCATCAAGAACCAGGGAGATAGCTAATCAAACGGAGAGAGAATCCCTAGATGCCAATGTGAAGTGACAGAGATATCAGAACTATCTGACATTAATGTTCACATAGCTATCATAAAAAAACGCTTCCATGAATAATCACAAATGCTCTTGAAACAAAAGGCTCAAGAATACAGAAAAAGAAGAGAAAAATAAAACCAAAGCAAGCAAATGGAAGAACATAATAAAGGGCAGAAGGAAGAGAAGAAAAACAGAAAAGCAACAGAGAACATGGATGAAGAAAAGAGCTGGTACTTTTATTTAGGATTAATGAAATTGACAAGACTGCCAAAGAAAAAGTCAAGACACAAGTTACCAGTGTCAGGAAAGAAACAGGGGCTGTCAATACAGACCTGCAGATATCAAAGGGATCATCAGGAATTCCCACAAACAACTCTACACACAAAGTTTGAGGACTTAGAGCAAAAACACAAACTCTTCCACAAGTTTCTCAACATGGAGTCAGTAATGTGCACAGTGCTAGGAACATTAAGGAAATTGGACTCATAACTTGAAAATGCTTGTAAAAGAAATCTCCAGGCCTGTGTGGATTCACTTAAGAATTTTATCAAACTTTTAAAGTAATACCAAGTCAAATAACCAAAGGAAGAGACGTTTCTTACTTCATTTTATGAAGCTAGTATTACCCTGGTACCAAAATCAGAGAGAGGTAATACCAAAAAAGAAAAGCACAAACACCCCTCATGAATATAGCATAGAAGTCCTTAACAAATAAGGCAATATATTCATAGAATTCTATCCCATGACCAGGTAAAGTGGTCCATATGTAAAACTTCAACCCTGTAACCCACAATATTAACAGACTTATACAGGAAAAACAAATCCCATGATCAGCTGGACACAGTGGCGCATGCCTGTAATCCTAACAACTCTGGAGGCTGAGGCAGGAGGATTGCAAGTTTGAGGCCAGCCTGGGTTACGTAGCAAGACCCTATCTCAAAACAGACAATCAAAAGGGTTGGGGGTGGCTCAGTGGTAGAAAGCCCTTGGGTTCAATCCTCAGTGAAGGAGGAGGAGAAGAAGGAAGGGGTGGAGGGAGAGGAGGAGGAGAAGCAGCACATGATCATATTAACGGGTGATCAGAGTATTTGATAAAACTCAACGCCCACCAGACAGAAACCCAGCAAATCAGACAAGTGGGAGACTTGATTAAGAACATTTACAAAAGCCCTACAGCAAAATGGTACTTAGCAAGGAGAGACTGGACGCTTTCCATCTAAGACCCGGGACAAGGCAGGATCTCTACTCTCACGGCTCTTAGTCAACATGGTGCTTGGAGTTCCAAGCCAGACCAATGAGGTTGAGAAGGAACAAAAGGCACAGATCAGAAAGCAAAAACAGAACTGACCCTATCTGCAGATGACATAATTGTCTATGCAGAAAATCCTACAGAATCTTTAAAATATGTCTGTTGTGCATATGTGTATATATAAAATATTATTTTCTCCTAGAACTTATGATTAAGTTCAGTAAGGTCACAGAATATAAGGTAGACATATAGAACCCAATTTCCTTCTTACTTTTTCTTTTCTTACAGTGCTGAAGATCGAACTTAACATCTCAGCTTGCTAGGCCAGTGTTCTACCACTGAGCTACATCCACAGCTCCAATTTCTATATGTAACTAATAAACAGGTAGACACTGAAATTAAAAACACCACCTACAACTACACAAAAATAAAGGATTATCTAGGTATAAATCTGACAAGTCACTACAGGAGGTATATGCTGAGAACTACAAAACTAATGAAATCACTGAATATCTAAGTAAACGGAGACACACACTTTGTTCATGAATCATGAAATTTGACATGGTTAAGATGCTAATTCTCCCCCAGATTGATATACAGGTTCAGCTCAATTTCTATCAAAATCATATGAAGACTTTTTTGTAGCCATATACAAGATTATTCTAAAATTTATACGGAAAGGGCAAAGGAGTTTGAATCGGCTAAGACAATTTTGGAAAACAAGAACAATATATAAGAAATCATACTACCTAATTCCAAGATTTACTATATAGCCACAGTAATTCAGATTGTGTGCTATCGGCAGAGAGATAGAAAAATAGATCAACGGGAGAAAGAACTTTGAAACAGACCTACACAAATATTCCCAGTAGATTTTTTTTGAGTTGGAATCTCGCTGTGTTGCTCACACTGGTCTTGAACTTCTGGATTTACATGATTCTCCTGCCTCAGCCTCCTGAGAAGCTGGGACCACTCTGCCCAGCTTCTTCCCCACTGCTTTTTTGACAAAGGTACAAGTAATTATGATGCAAATAGTTGTTATACTGGCCCCAAATAGTAGTTATACTGGCCAACAGAACAGGACACATGGCAGTGGGGGAAGTGTGTGGTACTCTTCCTGACTCCCTGCCAAGTCTTGCTTCAACACCAAGTTGTCCTCTGTGGGTTAAGTTACGAAAAGCAGCACACAGCAGCCCAGACTGGGGTCTGCGCTGAGGCTGAAGGGAGCCACTGGCCCTGGGAGTGAGCAAGGGGAGAGGGCTCCCGGGGGAATATGGCAGCCAACTGCTGCCCCAGGGTGGAGCCCAGGCTGCCCATCACCTTCTGTGACACTGTTCCCTGAGAAATGCTAACCAACCTTTCTCTGATTCCTGGCACACTCAACAAGTAGAATTTGGTTCCTCTAAACATTCTAATTTTCAAGAAAGCACGATTCGGCAAACATGAGCACCTGTGCTCATTTAATACTCATTTCTGATCATTGTGGATGCGATGGTCTTTGGTGAATGTGATTTACCCGGTTCAGTTCCCAAGGGTATGAAGTTCACACACCCGGGCCCAGGACTGGACTAGGAGCTGGGCCCTGGAATGCCAGGCTGTCTGGTTAGGGCTGCTGTAGGGGGGCAGCCCTAGTCTTCAGGCTGTGGGTACCACACCTGCCATCATAGACATGGCCATCTCAGGATATGCTACCTTAAGAAAAGGAGACATGACTTATGCTAGGTGGCCCCCAAGGCAGGCCAGAAGCAGCAGACGAAGACAGGTTCTAGATCCACCGAGACCCTATCACGGCCATCGGCACTGGCACTGCCTCAGTCATGAAACAGCCTGCAGAGGGACATCACAGTCACCAAAGACCAGGGCACCCCGCCTGGCAGCAGGCACACTCGCCTATTAAACCATTAAGGAAGGCGCCCCCTCTCCTTACCCTTCCCGGTGACTCGCTGTGGATTCCTTTGATCAATGCTGCTTTCCTTAGGAGGAAACCACAGCCTGGAGATCAACAAGCCCACTGCAATGGTCCAGCCTCAAGGCTGAGCCTGGCCTTCAAGCTCGGCAGCCCCTTTTTGCTCAGGTCTTTCTGACCTGGCCCCTTGGGGCCCTGCAGGAGAAGCCTGTTTCTGAGGAGACACAGGCAGGCCTGCCCAGGTCTTCTGAGGACCCAGGGTCCGCGGTGTCTGGTTGCAACTGAGCTCAACAGGGCACATGG